ACCAATGACATTATCGATGGTAAATTAGTGAATATTGAAGATGCTTTTTGTCACACCAATTACAAAGTTCGTCAAAAGAAAACTTGAAGGTTTGGATGATTGCAATGCATAGTCTTGTTAATCTCCATACTATCCACATCTCAAGAACACATGTCATTGTTTTCACACTTCTCCTTCTATTCATTAGATTTCCTCTATGCTTTCCAGCAGAAATAATGAAATTTATGGCAACCAAACTCGAATTATTTGTCTCAGAATGATTTGAAAGGGTCGTCCGACCAACGAGTCAGGTATAAGACAACCAAACTCAAATCATTTGTTTTGGAATAATTCGAAAGAGTAATCCGACCAACGAGTCAGGTGTAAGCTAGTACTTAATCACACTAGTTGATATTTGATATTTCATTTAGCGGGTAAAATACCTCGGGTACTACTTAAGTTTGATAATTGGGACAGATATACCACTTAAGTTTGAATAGGGCGTCGGGTACCACTAAACTCTATTATTTGTGCATCCGCTACCACTTAAGTTTAGTGTTTAAGTGCATTCCGTTAATGTTAACATAGTATTTTTGGAATATTCTGTTTTCTAATTTTCTTAATTGGTTTTTCTACTTTTCTTATTGTAAAAATTATTTTGACTTATGAAAAACATCAATTTTTATTATTTAGTTGGTATCCTCTTTTGAAGACTTGATATCAAATTAATTTTTAAATAGATAATTTAGAATCAATTATAAGTATTTTGTGCTTCCTACCCTCAGTGCTTTAACACGTAACCTCTACCTAACACTCGCCCTTCTACCTCTACCTTATCATTATGTTTACTAATAATTGAATTATTCTCTGAAGAAAATATATCCTATGAATTATGTTTAGTTGGAATCCTCTTTTGAAGACTCTGATACCAAATCAATTTTTGAATAGGAAATGTAGAATCAATTATCATTATAAGTATCTTCAATTACTGGAATATGTTTAATTCTTTCTTATTGTGTTACATTTATCATTCTTTGGTCTTGATGCATTGATGATTAATTAGGTTCTATTTTAAATTTTTTAATGGTACTTCTAATTGGATTAGGGGTTTAAATAGTCTCCTAATATTAATTTTAAATATTTATTATTATATTCTTTATATTTATTATTCTTCTTGATATTTATTTATTATTTTTACTAATTTATCTATTTTATTGACAATATTGATTAACCATTTTAGTAATATTATGTTTATAAGGTTTTTTCATTGCTATATTAGATAAAAACTTGTTAAAATATAGTTTTGGATGTTTTTAAAAGTTTTAGGTTGGATTGGATGGAAAACTAGGCGAATGCATATTTTGACGACTTTAATGGTACCCGGCGCCCTATTCAAACCTAAGTGGTATGTCTCTCCCAAATCTCTAAGGTTGTCAACCCGAGGGTTGACCCGGACCCGGTCGAGCTAGTGGGTCAAGGGTTAACGGGTCACCCGTTTTAGCCCATTTTAGCCCGAAATATGGAAAAAGTCATTATATTATACTTATCCTTATAAATTATATCAAATCTCATCTAACATATGAGTAATAACATATAACATTACACCAAAGTAACATGTCGTACTTAGAATTCACACACTTATATAACATCAATATTCAAATGTTCAACTAAAGATTCCAAAGATTGAATTGGGCGAAAAGAAAAATTGGAAAATAGACGCATTTCACAAACCAAAAAAAAATGACACAATTTGACTTTCAATCCGATGCCTTGTAGCGGTCGACTCAACAAGTAAGTGCAACCCATTTTTCTCATCTGATCTGGGATGACCGCGGGTTAACAACTTTGCAAATCTAAAACTTTTAAGTGGTAGTTGAGGAAATACCCTTCATTTAGCGAGTTTTTTCCAATAATAGCACCCTAAAAAAAAAAATTACAAAACTAGCACACATATGAAAAAAAAGACAGAAATAGCACCTATTTTTTTGGACCGCACCTGCACGATGCGTTTTATAGGTGAAACGCACGTGAAGGATGCGGTTTACACATAAACCGCATCGTGCAGGTGCGGTCCCCGTCACAAAACGCATGCCAACGCAGCGATCCACGCCAGCTGCGGAACGGTCTTCAAGACCGTCAGATGGTGAGGCGATCTGACGGTAGACCGCCTGCCAGCGGAGCGATCCGCGCCAAGCCACCCAGACCGCACGGCCGAGATGCGGTCAAACCTAGGGAAACGTAAACCGCAGCGGGAGGGAGCGGTTTCTGTTAGTGCAAAATTACAAGACCGCCCCTGGGGGGTGCGGTCTGATGGGTATAAATATCCCCCCCTCCCCCTCTCATTTCTTCACACCACAACCCATTCTTCCTCCTCTCTCTACAATTTATCTCTCTAAACCCTCCCCTCCCAAAAGCCTAGGAAATAGTGGTTTGTTGGTTGCGGCTAAGTCCGATCTGCCATCAGAAAACATTTCTTAGGTTTTTTCCTCAAAACCCTCCGAGTCGAGCCGAAGCTCTGTCCGAATTACGCCGAAATAATGGCCGATTGGTGGCAAGGAGAAGGAGTTTATGTTGATGAATTTCAAGCGGTATGTACTCATTATTTTGGTTTAATTTTTGTTGTTGTTATAAGTTTTTTAATTAATCTATGTACTAACCTCGTTGTTATTTTCTCGTAGGTTGGGGAGGACGTCGATATATACAACCAACGGTATTATCTCGAGCAAGGACCGGTGGATCCAACCGACTTGTACGACCAACCCAACCATCGGTCAAGGGATATTTGGAACGATCACCCGGTACATACAATTCTTCACCATTTGTCATTCTTTTATTTTGTTAATGTGCCTAGTGTAATATAAAATTAATTTATGTTTATTTTTTAATCGTGTTGGCTGTTTTCAATAATTTAATCGAATACATAGCGCCACTTACTTCGACTCTTTATAAAGAGATGCACGTCTAAGGAAATGGGGTTTTAAGCGATTATCATATCCTCCCATTACCTGGGAAAATCGGGTATTAAGAGATCCTCGGATCCCCCCTTTTTCTGTCAAAAAGACTGTGTTTCTAAGAAGATGTATACCTCTTCTAAGAGTCTAACGAGTGTTGCTTTGTATTCGATTAAATTATTTAAAACAACTAATACGATTAAATTATTTACCAAACATTTGAATATGTATGTTTCTACTTAAATTATTATTCATTAATAATGTTATTTATGTTAATTAATTTAGTATGTTTGTTTTACGATAATATGTATGTACCTCTTTAAATTAGTATTCATTGACAATGTTATTTATGTTAATTAATTTAGTATGTTTGTTTTACGATAATATGTATGTACCTCTTTAAATTATTATTCATTGACAATCTTATTATGTTAATTAATTTAGGACGTTTGTTTTATGATAATATGAAATGTCTTTTTATGATAATAAAATTATGTTTTATGTCGCATAATTTAATTTAATTAATTTAGTTATACGGAAAAAAACCCTTACTAATAATAATTAACGTGTACATTTTTGCTAGGACTGACAAACAATAATCCGCTATAGGGGTACCACCAATGTGCTCCCATTCCACCCAGCTATCTTGCCATTTCTCAAAAGGGCACGGTTAGACTCGATTAGGCATTTTAACGGCATCCAAATCGATCGCCAACTCATCACCGCATTAGCCGAGAGATGGAGAAAGGAGACCCATTGTTTCAACTTTAGAGAAGGAGAGGCCACCATCACGCTAAAGGATGTCGCCATCCTAACCCATCTGCCCATCGACGGCAAACTGGTGTGCGTGAGTGATCATCCCCCCGAGGATTATGACGGTATGCCAGGTTGGCAGCATTTCATCCACAGTCATTTGGGAGTGAAAGTACCGGTGAAGGGTTGCGTTGATGCGACCGATCGCATGCCACCAATGAGGAAACACCAAGTCTCAATTACATGGTTGACGAAGTATTTTAGAGAGCATTACGAGAGTCACCCCCTAACCGACGTAGGTGGCCCCCTTTCCGGTGTCTTCCGTGTAACCATTCCACCGTAAGCCAAGCGTTAACTGACGGAATGCCATCTGCACACAACAAACCGTAGTTTAGTTAATATCATAAAAATCACAAATCACAAATAACAATAAAAAGTTACACAAAATAAAGTTACGAGTTAATGTTAATGACATAAAAGTAACACAAAATAAACTTACGAGTTAATCTTAATGGCATAAAAAGTAACACAAAATAAACTTACGAGTTAATCTTAATGGCATAAAAAGTAACACAAAATAAACTTACGAGTTAATCTTAATGGCATAAAAAGTAACACAAAATAAACTTACGAGTTAATCTTAATGGCAAACACACTAAATAAATATAGATATACAACAGAAAAATGAAAGAGAGAATGAGAGGTGTGAAGAGTAGAGGTTTTCCGGCAAGTCTTATATAGGGAAAAAATTGTGAAAACCGCACCTCTAGGGTGCGGTTTTAGTCTGCCATGCAGCCCTACGTCCATAATTCTCTGCATGCTGTGTCGGGTGTCGAAAACTTATTGACATGTAAACCGCACTTGGGGGTGCGGTCTACATGACCAAACCGCACCTTAGAGATGCGGTTTGTTCTTGGAGGCAGAAACCGCATCTCTAAGGTGCGGTTTAGGTAGGTCAGGCCTAAACCGCACCTCGGCCATGCGTTTCATGTAGGCCAAACATGAAAACGCATGGCCCAGGTGCGGTTTAGGCCCACCAGTATTGACCGCACCCTCCAGGTGTGGTTTACATATAAAACGCATCCGGGGGATGCGTTTTATATGTAAACCGCACCTGGAGGGCGCGGTCAATAAAAAATGGTGCTAATTTTGTAAATATTTTTGGGTGGGTGCTAGTTTTGTAATTTTTTTTTTAAAGGTGCTATTTCTGGAAAAAACTCTCATTTAGCCATTTACAAGAGCGCGTGGTAAGTGGTAAACCGGTCATTGTTCAAACGAATAAAAAGGCAAATCTAGAGAGGCCGAGCCGAGGGGTTCTAAAGTCCTCATCATCATTCGTGCACAATCGCTCTTGGAGTTCCACCACCGTCCCGCTGTAGACCTGCCGTTTCCCCCGTCGGCGAGAGAGAGTTGATCAGCGGACTGAATCGCCGGTTCGATACCGCATCTGAAGGTTCAGAGAGAAGAGAAACGAAGGCCGTCGAACTCCCTTGTATTGTTTCGCTGCAATTTTCCTTTCCAGTATATCTATTGGATACCTTCCCATCGCATCTTCTGGTTGGCTGACAAGTCGGCAGTGATAAACTCTAGATTTCTCTGTAAGAATCCATAACGAGCATCAGGGAGATCCATTCCATATGCATGTTCTGCTTTTATGGTTGCTTCTTCTTGCCCTAATGGCGTTCGTTTGCTTGACGGGCCGCTGAATAATGCAGGAGGGAAGAATGGAGGAGCAATTCATTCTCAGAGTTCCGCCTTCTGTTGCCGAGCGCTTAGAATCCCTTCTGAACGGAAGTGCAGCTTCTCCCGAAGAGCAAGCACTGGATTTGTCGTTCTCTGGTGAGGCTATCCATAATCCCTTTTCCTTTTCGGTTGAGCTTCTCAAGCTTCCAGCTAGAGCTGTAAAAACGTTAGGTTGCATTTAGTTATTCATTCTAAGAACTCAGAACAATTGGAATCATCAAGGATTCTTCCCTATACCATTTTTTCCATCCAAACTTGCTATTCATGAACTTCCCCTCTGTGTATGCTTGATGGGCTTTGCAGAGAATGGACGGAGTGGCACATTTAGCATTGGCAATGAGCAATTCCCTGCATCTCTCTTGGATCTCCCTTGTGTGACGGAGTCCTATAAGACGTATGATGATCGAGCTCTGGTTAAAACTGCAGACATCGGCCAGGTACGTTGTTATAGTCGTGTGACTACTACTACATTAAGAGCGCAATTTACTGTGAGATTTTTTACAGATGATTATGGTTAGAGGACCGAATGAATCAGCTCCAGATACAATTGAGTACAGACATGGTCTCACTCCTCCTATGAGGGATGCTCGGAAAAGAAGATTCAGAAGAGAGCCTGACCTCAATGTATGATGATCTGAGCACTCGTTTACCCTTTTGATTAAATTTCATCGTGCATTTCTCTGACGTAATAATAGCTGATGATCAGAAAGCAGCTGGCTTTTTTTGATTTGGTTGGATTTTGAGCAACTAATGCCTGCATCTTTTTCTATTCAGTCCAGTCAATACTTAAATGTTTGTGTGTTTTATTACTTGCAGCCTGAGCTTGTGCAACGCGTTGAGAGAGACCTATTGAACATCATGGCTGGTGGAACAGTAGAAAATGGTGATATCCTTAGATTCATACTGCCAAGCTTTACTTATTGAGTCTAATGCTTTCACACAAGTCCTTAACTTGGCTTCCTTACTTGCTGAAGTGAACGAGCAAGAAGATGGGAACCAGAATGCATCTAATGCCAATAAGAAACCTGCACCAAAGCCCGTGACAAAGCCTGAGGCTCCACCAACAACAGCTAATGCTGAGGAGCCAGAAAGAAGTGATTCTGATGATACTGAGGACTCAGCGTGATGAGAATGCGTGCCTTCTCATCTACCGAACTCGGGTTAGTGTGTACAGTGCTCTAATGTTCCTTTATCTCCCTCTGTGCTATATGTTGGGCTGAGGTTTTTTCCAATCTGTATTGTCCATTTCTTGGAAGCTTTCGAGGAGAGGCTTCTTTCAAATGTAGGAAAACGAGGAGAGGAAGAAAGCTACAGAAATGTAGGCAAGGATGGGGAACAACTGAGTTTGGCTGGAATCTATTGATAGTGGTGATGTTTAGAGGATGTTGAGCTGATCCTTTCCGTTTTACATTTATTTGTGGACGGGAATCAAGATAAGTGAGCTACAGTTCCTTCTAAGGTGTGGCTATGTAAGATGAAAGTCATGAAAGTGTACCCGTCTATGGATGCCACAGGTGATAGTTTATACTGAGTTGAGAATTCCAGTCTCCATAGCATAGCTTCGCCAAAGATTAATGCTAATTCTTTTTTGTAAATCATTTTTCAATCCCATGTTTGAGCGAATGTGAATATAACAACAAAGGCCACACCCAAAACAAAGACCAAGAAATGAAGCGATTAGCTTCCCGCCAAGGCTTATAGAAGCAAACAGAGAGGCTTCATTATTTATATAGATCTCTCTGCTTCTATATCGTTTGGCTCTCTCGCCTTCAGTTCTGCCTCTAGCAAAAGTCTGATCTCGCTCGATCTGATTTGGGGAATGCTATTTTAGATCAAATTGTAGACAAGGGAAGGTGCGGATCACAGATCATATCACGGGGCAAGAAAGATGATTACATGCAGCCAGTTCGATGTGAAGAGTCTCTTACATCGCAGAGCCCGATGATGATGTCTGATCGAGTTCGGAGAGCCACAACTTCGTTGTTGCAACTTGTAATGTGTAATTGATATACATGAAATGAAGTGGATATACAGGGCAATAGTGCGGTAAGCCGGTAACGATGCTCTATCATCTTTCGATCAAGTTTTTGTCCGGAAAAAAAAAAACAAGAGTTACATCAGGAATTTAGTTCCCAACTGGACAGAACGAATGCGCATCACCAGTCGTCCTCCAAGCTAGCTCGATGAAAACACATGACTGTGCATACAAAGATGAAGAACGACGTGAACTCGATGAACATTGCCCCTGTTTCAATCATATTGGCATGTCTAAGGATGATAGGAATCGCTAAGCTCCCAACGGCTGATGCTCCCGTGAGGAACTTTGCAGCATCTATCCAACTGCAGTTTAGCAACAGCACAAGCTTTAAGGATGAACAACTTTTTTCGCAAAAAAAGAAAAGTAAACCCCACAGAAGTCTAACGATCAGAAACCAGTTAGCCGAATGAAGGTAAAGATGTAAGTACACTCACCCGCCACCATCCCGGCTTATAAGAAACTGAGTTGATCCACCTCCAAAGAATAAACAAGGCATAGGCACTAGCACATACATAAGAGCTGCAGCGCACAATGATTTTTGTATCATGATTCAAGAACCTCTCCAAATCCAAATTTTGTAGTGTTCACGAATTAATAACACCAAACCTGATAACATGGGCCACCAATTGTGTATATTGCACAGGCCTGAAATGACAGAAATCAGGAGGGTGAAACTTTTCGTTAAACAACATGGTACAATGTCCTGACCGTAATATTTATAGCAATCACACTTTGATTTCATTCCATGTACACTGATGCAGTGGAATAGAAGATTCAGAGATGGGTAAAGAAAAAAAGCATGTTCAAGTTTGGAATGCATGCATTGGAACTTGGAAGATTCCTAAGCACAAAGCCCTAGAGATCTACAAGCTGATTGAGTGCCAAAAGTGCAGCAATCAGCAGAACTTCTAAAAATTTGAGTATCATACAGCAGGCAACAGGAAACAAAACAACAAGTACTTCATCGGAAAGAATCACGAGAACATCTTATAAGATATAACCAGATCCTCCTCTGGCATCACAATAAAAAACCATCTGACCAACCAGCTCCTAGCAAATTTAGATTAATAACCAGAGGTCAGCCTAAACCCAGTTCATAGTAAAGAGAGTTAATTAGTTCTTTCTCAGTTCATTTTCATCATATAGATCTTAAGATCAGTGTTGAGAACTAAAGAGAGCAGGCTAGATTTAACTGATTAACACAAGAATTCAAATTGCTAACTGATGCGCTTGGTTGGAGTTGTTACAACTTTTGACAACGCAAGTCCTGTATCAAATTCTTTAATGATGCTTCCTTGTTTGTCAGTTCTAGTTAGTTTCTATAAGTACTGAACAACATCTGAATGACTTCTTGGATAAATATTAACGTTTTTGAGTAACAATATGGTTCTTTTCCCTCATGGAAAGAAGCAGTGGAACAATACCTCAGTCCCAGACAAGGGCGCGATGGACAGAAGTAACCATTTTCTAGACTTCTGTACCTGATAATGCTTCACTATGAAACCTTTCTAGTCCAGGTGCATACAGTTGGCTGATCTTAACTTCTAAGTGACATGGCATTTGTAAAATTTATGCAGGGATCCCATAGTACAAACCAAGGAGGCTGAAAACATACCAGTATTTGTAGCAGAATACTAGCTGAGAACATAAAAGCGAGACCGGCAAGCCTGCGTCGAAACAAACTCAGTTTAGAAACTAGTCACCAAAACAAAAAAAGCACATGCACAGGTTTCAATTCCATATCAAAGCTTCCAACTTACACTGTAGAGGACGGCAGTAAACATGTTGCGACACCGCAGCACCAGCGCATCAAAACAGAAAGCGATTAGAAATTGAAAGATACATACTTGAAAGCAAGTGCATATGTATTCCTAGTATGGATGAAGACATCTGAGAGAAATAAACTTCACAGCAAATTAAGTAGACAGGTTACCCCCCACAACAACAAGAAGACGAACTCAAGCTCACAACCCAGACAAACTAAAGTCTACGCCTCAAGGCTCCAAGCACCATCAATAGGTTAGGTCACTCTGATCAAATCGAATCAACAATGGCATTATGGCAAGTGAAAAACTTTCCGCACAAATTCACTACTTTCATGTCTAAATTCTGAATTATTTTCAAGGAAACCAAACAGATGTATATCCCTCCAACCAGAGCAGCCCTCTTCTTTGCCTATGGGAGAAAATCCGACTAGTCAGAAGCCCTATCAAAACTGAGTTCAGTGGAGCTCAACGAAGCGGGAACCTAGCTAGAAGGCTATAAATTAATCGATGCAAACTGCAAGAGGTAGGTGGGAATTTCGAATCTGTTAAAGAATTAAATAGAATTGATGAAATAAGAAGGATCAATAAGTCGTACCTTCAACCGTCATCGCCATTTTCTGCGACTACGAGGAATAGAAAGCTCTAGTGGATTTTCACTGGTCGCTCGTGAGCCTGAATAGCACAAGCAAAATGAAGGAGCAAAACAGCAGAGAGCTTCCTGAGAAAAGAAGAACCAAGAAAGGAGTACGGCGTGATTCTTCTTCTTCTCTTCTTCCTGCCTTTTGCCGGTTGCTGAAGGAAAAAGGAAGAGGAAGAGGGAAGAAGGAGAAGAGGAGGAGAATATTTAATTTTGTTTTTCTTTGTTGCAATTCTTTAGATTTTGGTCAATGAAATTTCACTAGGCCCGTCATTGCCTGGTTAAGTATATTAGCCCATATTCCCTAGCCCACCCAATTTCCCATTCTTTTATCCAAATATTTTGTGGCCAATACTACCGTGCTGCTATTAAAAGTGCGGCACCGGTGACGCCGATTGTGATTGGTCTACATGGACAGTGACATGGCACTGATTAAGCTTATTAAATCCTAACCTAAATTAGGAGGTTATGAGTCGGTCAAACCGCCACCATGCAAGATAACGGAGAAGCTTTATTCCGTCTTCTTATCTCCGTTTTTCATTTTCTTTCTTAATTCCTATAAAATTCATTTTACTTTTGTTTTTTTGTTCCAATAACAAAAAACAACAACAACGAAACCCAAAACCCAGCGTGTCTTCATCGCCCTCTCACACTGTCGGACTGTAATTTCGGCCGATTCCTCCGTTGCCAATTTGGAGGAGTTCAAGCATAGAGACGCAGATCGTTCAGCTTCTCGATGGCGCCGAGCGGGTTTACTAATATATATTTAGGATCGAGGGGACTGGAAATTGGGAAGGTGGCCGAGGGAAGCTTCAGAAAGTCCGTCTCGGTGCCACTCCGTCTATCCTCCGCTTGTGCTCCCCGATTGCTCCATCGAGGTAACGACGATTCGATTATCTATCTTCACTTTTTTATCCCATAATGATTTTCAACCAAGCGTTGGTTGGGGTTTCTAGGTTAAACAAGTTTACTGAAGTTCTGTTGTTGGTCGTTTGTAAAACTACTACTGCTACAGCAGCATTGGTTGGTTTGTGGTTGTAGATTGAATTGATATTGGCAATTTTACCGACTTTCTGTTGATGTCGTTTGTGAATCTGCTAGCTCTAGCATTGGAGATTCTAAGATTTCAGGGGTCGAGAGCAGGTGAGAAGCTATTGGTGTTTTGCTTTCACGGTTCTTGAACAATCAACTCAACTGAAGCTACTGAAATTTGTAGCTGGTTGTAGAGCAAATATTGGACTCGTGATCTTCATTAAGAGTCATGCACTGCAGGTTTATTTTTACATCTGGTCTACCTTTGCATAGCATATCAAATTATTTTGTACAGGATAGTTCTTAAATTTAGTATTCAGTAAGTTGTCATCAACACAAAGACTTGATGGAGGGTCTCTAAATGGCAAGTTGAAGTTTTCCCAACTATTTCTGTTCTTGCAGGTACTTGGAGTGGTGAATGTCTACTTTGCTGATGAAGGCAGTGAGGAAATATTAGAGGAATTTTACAATGCTATGGGCCCGGATAGTATAACAACACTTTAAGTGTTGTTATACTAACAACATGATTCATTAAGGGTATAAGAGTAAACTTACCTATAATATAGTTAAATAAATTAAATTGAAATATCTCAATCCCTAGATCACTTTCGATCTCCTCCCCTACTCTGGCCCCAAATTCATGCTCTTTCTCATCTGCAACTCCGCCGTTCTTTCTCCGGCCAGAGCTTCGCGACCACCACTGTCGGCGAGGGGAACATGCAGTCCAACGGCGTCGCCCAAACTCTGACTCTCCCATCTGCCCGGCCGCGAGAACTCCAGATCTGGCGCTTTCAATCATGCGGACAGGCGCAACAGAGTAGGAAACAGAGAATCATTGAAGGTCGGGATCGAAATCAAGAGCGGCGTCGGTGGGAAAAGAATGAATTGTTACTGCGGAACCTAGAGCACAGGACGGAGATCGATCGAGCTGGAGGGATAGGATTTGCAGCATTCTGATGAATACCAGCCTCGCCCGCCCTTCCTTCTTCTTTTCCCTCTCTTTCCCCGTTTCTAGTCATTGAAGTTATTTTCACCTCGCCGCTCACAGAAATACAGGGAGGGAGAAAGAAAGAGAAGAAAAAAAGAGTCGTTTTCCAGTCTGCAGCTTGGGGCGAGGAATCTGTGTGTGTTTTTGGTGCTTGCTTTGCTTTGCTGAGAGAGAGAGAGAGATAGAGAAAGCTGTTCACTTTTTACCAGTGGGGAGATGAAGGAAGGGGAAAGGGGAAGGGGGAGGAATATCCGGTGTTTAGGGATGGAGTTTGTGGCGGGCGGCGGTGGAAATCAAATCGGCCGGCCAATCATTAATTTCGATTCCTGAATTAATTTCCCAACTGAAATTACTTATTAGTAGCATCTCATCTCCCATCCACCTTGAATTCAAATTTGATGAACGTGAAAAGATTAGTTGTTCCATTCACCCTCATTGCCGACACTATACTCGAAGCTAGCTAGCTGGAATCAATTACCACCATTACCATCAACTTCCCTTTCTATTACTACTTCTCTTCACCCCCATTACCATCATCTTCATCCACAAATATTTCATAAACACACCAGAAATCTCATAATCCAGACCACACATAAGATAAAACAAACATACCAGAAACCTCTTAATGCAAACCACAAGTCTCCTAAAATAAACCAAAAACCTCTCAAACCAAACCACAAAATTCTAAAAAACACACCAGAAACCTCATAATGCAAACCACAAACTCCGTAAAGCAAAACAAAAAAAACCAACAAAAAACCTCCTAGTGCAGACCACAAACACAATAAAACAAACCAGAAACCTCGCAAATCAAACCATAAAATTTTCGAAAGCACACCATAAACTTCATAATGCAAACCAGAAATCTCCTAATGCATGCCACAAATCTCCTAAAACAAACCACAAACCTAACAAAGAAACTTCTTAATGCAAACCAGAAACCTCCTAATGCATACCACAAATCTCCTAAAACAAACCAAAAACCTCACAAAGCAAACCACAACATTTGCGAAAGCACACCAAAAACCTCCTAATGCAAACCACAAACATAGTAAATCAAACCACAAAAAAGCAAACCATAAACGTCCTAATGCAAACCACAAATATATTAAAACAAACCAGAAACCTCACAATGCAAACCACAAAGGAAAACAAACCAGAAACTTCTCAATGCAAACCACAAACACAATAAAACAAACCATAAAAGGCATAAAAAATATGAGAAACCAAACCATAAATCTCACAATGCAGACCATAACATCCGGTGGTCGTTGACCGTTGACCGGTCAACGAAGACCGTTGACCGAACTCCGGTGACCGTCAGTGAGCAGATTCTGACGCCGATAGGCATATTCCGGCCCCGGTGACTAGATTCCGACGCCGGTAAGCATATTCCGGCCACAAAATAGCATATTCCGGCGACCATTTTCCGGCGACCAGTGGCAGAATTCCGACGACCAAATTTTTGGGCAGAAAATAAAATAAAATTTATTTTCTTATTTTTTTTTTATTTAAATAGATTTTTCATAATGACACTTATACCCCTGCTTTGATTTTACACTAGGTCAACTCATTTAATAAAAAGTCATCACAATCCTAGCTTCCTATTGGTTGGGGACTAGTGTTGTTACAATAACAACACAATGGGTGTTGTTACAATAACCGGTCCCCAATGCTATATAGTATTGGTGCTATAGGTTTTTGTCTTTATGGTACAACTTGAAATTGTACCTTTATGTTATGGTACAATTTCAGATTGTACCTATACTTTTTGTACAAATTCTTTTATGGTACAGCTTGAACTTGTTCCTTTATGTGATGGTACAACTTCAAGTTGTAAAGTTGTACCATAACATCATGATACAAATTCCTTTATGGTACAACCTAAACTTATACATTTAATGTTATGGTACAACTTCAAGTTGTACATTAAAGCACCAATACTATATAGCATAGTAGAAGTGCTCGGAAATATTATGGTATTGCAATGTTTGCAGTCGGGTTTCCCCAGGAAAAAACCAAGCAGAAGAAGCAGTTGAGCAAGCAACTTTAGTCCGACAACTGGCTAGTAGGACATTGCTTGTTAATGCAGAAACGTAGTAGGGCGTAGCACTAACAATCATATCTTCTGTCAAAGATGTCAAGAGATTTCCATGGCCTGAAGTTTTGGATGATGAATAGGATCTAGTAGAGAAGATGCTTAATCCATATCATAAACGTCTTAGAGGCTAGAGCTCAACAAGTGCTTTTTAGCTCTCCAGACTATAGTTTCGCTTAAAATCCTTATGGAAACTGTAATTATTTTCTTCACCCCTTCCCAAATGAGTAAATAACTCATGTATACGGTCAACATAACCAAGAAAAAAAAAACATCTCGTCTTGTTATGATGAATGGAATGATCTAGAACTTGGAGCTTTCTCCTTGGTCTGTATGATTTGGGAAGAACCTTGTTCAAGTATAAGAGTTTGTTGAGAGTTAAGTCAATGAGCCAGATACTATTTTGTTTAAGATTCAACTATAAAGCCATTTTTTAACATTTTATTTCCCAATATTCTTCAACATAACAATAATATCCCAACCGATCACGGCGATCAGCTTCGCCTTGTAAGATTCAAAGATGAAGTTTAAGGAAACAAGAAGGAAAGTTAAGAGTATAGTTGGTCGTAATGAAAAAGGTAAGAGCAATATAATCAGGCCAGATGACGATGGTATGAAAAGCCGAGGTTCCAGCTACTACAGTATTCAGAATCAGACACCATGAGAACCATCTGTATGCACAAAAATAAAATAGGAATGATAAGTGTTCATCTTCAGCAAAGAATACGATCATACATGCATTTGAACCTATCTGCTTCTTCCTTTCATGTCAAACAATGTGGTGGGTTTGATTGTGGCCTGCTACTGCAACTAATTTGAAACAATTGTAATTAGGCAAACCAGAGAATCATAACCATACCTTGTTTTAGTTTTGGCATGCTCTCTTTTGAAGGGTCCTAGAACCACAACATTAACACTCTTTAGTTAGCTCCTCCATTCTCTACGTTGGATTCAGTTTCAACGATTCCGACAATGGGATCGGGCGCCCAGCCCAAGGGGGACGACGCAGTGGGAGGGATCAGAGCGTCTTGTACGGTGACGACAGAGCAGCTCGACCGAGACAGAGAGACGCTCAAAATCAGTG